CGCGATGACCGCCAGCGCTGAGCCCCGAGGGCGACGGCCGGGGGTCGGGGTGGGAGTGATGGTGACCAGCTGCAGACATCCCCGCTGCATCCTGCTGGGGAAGAGGAAAGGGTCGTTTGGAGCCGGCAGCTTCCAGCTACCTGGGGGTCATTTGGAGTTCGGGTGAGCATCTTACACACGCCCAGGTCAATCCGTACACGCACAGGGCGGAGTCCGTGATGTTCGCGCTGTTCGTGCGTACGTACGTGCGCGCGCCCGGCCGGACCGGCTCCCTTCTCTCTTACTTTCCCGCTACCTCTGCGCAGGCTCTGGCCAGGAGGGGGCGCTGTGCGAGTCAAGGGAAGACTCGCTTGCGATCTCCGCTGTCCCTAGGCTGCGGTCGGAGTCGTTTTGTTTTTTTAGTGCTTACATCCAAGAGAAGGAAAATGCGCGTTTCTAAGCCAAGAGCGATCCCGCTTTGGCATGTTTAAACAGTTTTTGTGGGATAGCTATCCATCCAAACATCTCTGTCTCACCTACTGGCTGCATCTCACCCTAAACAAGCAGAAGTGTGCGTCTGTGCCTCAGTTTCTTCATCATTAAAATGGGGACGTTGGACGAACTACTCCAAGGTTCCGTTGTGCCTTGGCGCTTTATGATTGACTAATAGCAGGCCCATGAAACCAGTAGGCCCGCTCACAAGAGGCAGTTCACAATAATGAAAAAAGCCTGGGATTTTGCTAAAAAGTGAACTCTGAAGTAGTGAGAATAACGTTAAAATTAATAAAAGATAAAAGCATAAAGCATCCATCCACTCCAGCTTATGTGCCTTTAGTGCTATATTTAAAAATTTCAAAGGAACGTGAAAGTGGAGAAAGTAGTGAATCTTCACCCATCCCTCAAAGTTTGTTCTTCTTCGCCTCCCTGCTTGCCTCTCACTACCTGGTTTTCTACACCATTTTACACTACCCTTAAATACTTAGGTATGTACCTCAAACAGACTTTTTAAATACATGGTATTGTTTTCCTACCTAACAATTCTGTAGTCTTAACCGGAGAGTCTACTATGGTCTTGCCAGATCATCTTGAAAAGGTCTTTTTACTGTTTTACACCAATGGGGATCAGAGACGCATACATTGCATTGCCCTTCAATTTAGTAGTACTCCTTCATCCCTTTTTTCTCATGCCATTTATTTGTTGAAGAACATGGGTCATTTATCCAGAAGAACATACCTCATTATTACCATGTTCTTCTAATTCGTCTGTATTTATTACAATGTGGTAGTTAGAAGTAAGGCTTAATCCTAGTGCTTTTCAGTCAGACTTTGTCTTTAAAATATGTAATCATAGGCTCTTTTACGTGGAATTTTTAAATGGTCTTAATTTATAAAAGCATCAATAAGTTTATTATTTTCTAATAATTAAGGTAAACCATTAGTAAATAAATCTTCTAAAAATTTTCTTAGACTAAGAATCAAGTTGCTGCTGGGCACAGTAATCCTAGCTCCTTGGGAGGCTGGGACAGGAAGACCACAAGATTGAGGCCAGCTGGACAACCCTGTTTCAAACTAAAAAATCAAGGGCTCAGTTGTAGAGCATCCTTGGGTTCAGCCCACAATGCCACACACACACACGCACACACACACACATGTTGCCCACACAGCTATATATATTGTACTATGTTGATTGTTAATGAAAATTAAACAAACTTAGATCACAAACTAAGCACCACTTAGAATATATAATTACCAGAGCAATGGCTAGAAATAGCAATCTGAATACAAGAAAGTACTGACTCAGTTTTTTAATCACAGCCAGCATTGAACTTTAATGAAGTTTTTGCTAAGTGCTGTATAATACACGAAGCTCTTCACAGGTACCCTTTCACTTGATCTTTTCATAACTGTACAGTGGACTATGCTAGGAAGACAAACAGAAAACTTTTTTCCTTCCATTGTCTTCAAACATGACTCATCTTTTCCCTTCTCTTTCCCTCAATGATATTTTCTAAATATTGCTTATTTTATAAAAATAAATTACATATTGGTCATCACAGTTCAAGTCCATGTGTTTGAAAGTACGATCCCAGTTAAACTTTCAGTCTCCCAGTTTCTGATCCTCTCTGATGTGAGGAGGAGGTAAGAGGCATTGTTTTGCTTGTCGACTTCCTCCTCTCCTCTCCTTTCTGACATTCCTTCCTCCTCCAGTGTGTTAGGAAGATGGGATGTGACGAGGGCTGCTGTCCATTGGTGCCCTCTGTGTGCAATATGCACTATCCTAGTGGGTGCTGTCTTTCTTGGGGTCTGTCAGTTGTTTGGAAGCCCCATAAAGATTTCTGTCCCTGTTGTAGGTGTTATAGGTGTTGCAGGTGCCCTAGCTCTTGTTCCAGCATACTACTCTGCACTTTCTTCCTGTTGGGGTCCTTATTGGGATCCAGCAGTCTTCTGCAGTGTCTGCTTAGCCCAAAGGAAATATGCAGTAGAAAGGTGTTGTTGAATCCAAGGCCTTCCCACTAAGCTACATCCCCAGCCCCTTTTTATTTTTTAATTTTGAGACAAAGTCTCACTAAGCTGCTGAGTTGCCCAGGCTGAACCCAGACTTGTGATCTCCTGCCTCAGCCTCCCAGGGTGTTGGGCTCACAGGCATGTGCCCCCATGCTGTGTTAGAAATGATGCTTTTCCACTACTGCCCTTTTTGCTCACTCAACTCTTGTTGGCTGCTCTAGCCAGTCTCCTAGCTTTTAAATTCCCAAGATGGGAATAAGCAGCAGTCACTGTCCTAAGTGAAAACTGAAACTGCTAGGGACACATTTCAGATTTGTGCAAACACTCTTACCCTCCTGTCCCCACTGCCTCGGTGCACTGTGGAGGCCTGTGAGTTTCTGCAGCGTGGTGTGTCTTGGGTAGGGGAGTGACACACCAGTATCTCCTTCTGGGAGCCACGATTTCCTCTAGCTTGGCTTAGGGGATCAGAGTTGGCTCTTCACAGGAAGGGAAGAAAACATTTCTACTAAGCTGAAAACTCACAACTTCCCTCCCTCTCAGAAATCTCCTGTCTTTTTTATGTAGCCCAGGCAGGATGAGGATCAAAGGACTAGTCTGGTCTTCCTTAGCAAACCCTTGAGCTCAGATTGACATCTGTTTTTGCCATAAACTTGAGAGTTTAGAGGGGCTTATGGCCCAGTCTCAATTTTGAGGCTTAAAGTGAAATTCTGAGACTACTGGAAAAAGACATAGTATATTTTGATACATTTATGACAACTCCATTAGAAAGTAATATTTCAGTTTACTTCTCCAAGGTAGAGCATAACAGACTTCAAGCTTCAGCCTAGGTCTACTTGGCTGCAAAGCCTGTGTTCTTAATTAATGTGATAAACTGCCCCCTAGTTGCACAAACCTGTGAATTAGTGCTAAATTGGCTGCATGTTATTTACTTTTTTTATTTTTTGCTCAATATGTAGTTCTTTTGATCTTAACTAGATATAGGATATACCAAATGTCAGAAGTAGGGTTGTTAATTTATACCTGGTTTTGCTTTGGATTATAAATTTCTAACCAAGAATTTCATTGCAAAAAATTTACAAAAATAGAATTGTAAACGGTGATGTTTCCATTTTCCAGTGAGACCTGGGAAGAATGCGCTCAGAGGGAAACCTGGGAAGAAGCAGCTCTTCACCTGAAAAATGTCCGCTTTGCCTCAGTGGTAAATTCTTTCGTTGAAGAAGAGAATCATCATTATGTTACTATATTAATGAAAGGAGAAGTAGATATGACTCATGAGTCAGAACCAAAGAATGTCGAACCTGAAAAAAACGAAAGTAAGAGAACTGTATATAATAACTCACTTTTCGGACGATGTTGTCAGGAGTATTACGTTGTGTTGCTGTGTGAAAAGAATGAGATTCTCTTCATGTTTGTCCTCGCCTAATTTATATGTTGAAGTCCTAATCCCCAAGGTGATGGTACAAGAGATGGGGCCCGTGGGATGTGGTCCAATCATGAGGGCTTCACCCTCATGAATGGGATTAGTGTCCTTATAAAAGAGACGCCAGGTAGACCCTCAGCCCTTCCTCCACATAAAGATGAAGAGAGAAGGTGGTTGTCTGTGAGACAGGAAATGGGGCATCAGCAAACACTGAAATGGCCTGTGTCTTGGCTTTGCACTTTCAACCTCAAGAACTCTGAGAAAATTTTCTCATCTGTAAGGTATTGTTACAGCAGTCCAAACAGACTAAGATGATATAGATATGTAAATATACTTAAATACTGAGGAACTTGAGAAACCAGACTACTTAGGGTTGGGTCCTGGTCATTCCATTTTGTACTTTGTGGCCTTGGGCAAGTTATTTAATGTCTGGTCCTCTTTTCTCATCTGTGATCATAGTAACTACCTGAGATGGGTTCTCGTAAGAATTAAATGAGTTCATACATACTTATAAGAACTTAGTAAATACAGTAAATGCCAGTAAATCTTTTTTTGTTAGTTTAATTTTTTTTAAGGTAGTGACTTTAAGAAAAATATTTCATGTGTTTCTTCACCCATGAGGGAAAGAGTAAGCCTCCATTTTACAGAGAATGAGTATGCTGATAAAATGAATATGCTGAGTGATTTAATGACAGTAATGTTGCTTTAAGGATTTACAAGTTAGCATCTTTCCTCAGAGTCTCATAAAACTGCAGGAAAAGGAAATAAAATGAAACTATAAAAATTTTTGAAATATGTGAAACTTTATCCAAGTGGTCTCATGTGCTGGAGCTCTCTTCCCCCAAAACATTTAATTTCTTGTTCACTGTGGAAGAATCTTGTCAGCCAACAATACTTGTTGAGTACTTTAAAGACCTAATCACCTCCCTCTAGGCCCCACCTCTTAATTTCCACATCACCACGAAAGGATCAACCTCTGGCATGAGAACCTTTGGGGGACACACTCGGGTCACACCCAGAATAAGCAGTCTGTCTGTTCTGTGTAGTGACGGCCTCTGTGTTGGCTCCTCGGGTCCTAGACCTGGAGAGCCTGCTTCAGTTTACTGTTCACTGCATTCTGCTTTCTGATTGTGATTAGGGGGTTCATCCAGACATCTCATTTGCTGGGAGACAGGATAAACATTTCACAGATAGCTCTCCTGACACCTGCTTAATTCAGCCCGTGCAGTATTATTAGTGTCTGCCTGCCTCCCCCACCACCAGTCCCCTGTTCCTCCTCCTCTTCCCTCTCTCTCTCTCTGTCTTTGTCATTCTCCCTCATTGTCTCTCCCTCATTTGTGCATCCTCACAGTTACTGATCAGCCCTTCCTGTCCTTATTCAATTCCTTGACTTCCCTTTTCCCTCTGACTTCTCAGAGTGAAAATATATACCTGTATTTTATAGGCAGAGAATACTTAGCAAGAGAAATGGTATTTATACTAAGGTAAAATACGTAAACATAAAGAAACATTTAGAACATAGAGTATATGTCATATAATAATACATAGTATATACTCACCAATCATGAGCATCTGTGCTTTTGTCACTTTGTTTTACAGTACTGGGGCTCAACCCCAGGTCCTTGCACATGCCAGGCAAGCGCTTCACCACTAGCTGTACCCTCAGCCCTAGCATCTGTGCTTTTATGTTGTCTACATTTAAATTATCAAATAAAACAAAAATTTTTCTAGGATTTCACAATTTTTACAATATATTTGCACTGTTAAGGCTTTCTTGTTTCAATGGACTTTTTAAAAATGAGCTCCTTCTTTGTCTTCTATCTAAACAATACCAGGGCCAGGAATTTGGCTCAGTGGTTCTGCTGCCTACCTTCCAAGTTCAAGGTCCTGAGTTTGATCTCTGGTACCAAAAATTTTTTTAAAAAGCAATAAAATATACCAAGGCACAGCCAGGCATGGTGTCCCAAACCTGTAATTCCAGTACCCTGGAAAGCTGAGGCAAGAGGATCATAAGTTCAAGCCCAGCCTGAGTAACTTAGTAACTAAGCAAGACACCCCCCTCTCAAAATTTTTTTTAAAAAAGGTGTGGGGGTACAATCCCCAGTGTACAGTAAAATAAACAAAGGCACAATGATCTTTTCTCTGTACAGCTTCCATTTTTTAAGATGTGGAGGATATCTTTGAAATTTTGTAATCTACTTTATTCTGTAGGTGAAGAAACTTTTATTTTTATAAAGTATAGCCTATAGTATATAAAGTCCTTTACATTTTAAGACAAATATTTAAGTGCACATTGAATAATACTAAATCCAAAGGTTTGTTTTTTTTAATCACCATATGGTCTTTGTAAACTTGGTTTCCTATCCAAATAACACAATGTTTTACGTGATCACCATTTTCTTCTTAAAATCTTCATTCTAAATTCAAATTATACTTGTATAACTAAGTGCTTGCAAAGAAGCATTACTATTGGAGTTTATTTTATTAGCAATAGAGCATTTAAATTTAGTTATTTTTTTCTAAATATTGGTTAGCTTGTCAAAATTAATACCCCTTTTTTTCTGCCAGCCAAACACATGGATTTGATCTCTTTCTTTTCTAGGTTGGGAGTGGGTTCCATGGGAAGAATTTCCTCCACTAGACCAGCTTTTCTGGGCACTGCGTTGTTTAAAGGAGCAAGGCTATGATCCCTTTAAAGAAGATCTGAACCATCTGGTAGGATACAAAGGAAATCATGTCTACATGACCAAGAAGGTTTCTTGATTAAAAATAATAATAAAAACACAAAAATAAGGTCAAGTTAGAGAATGAAAACTATCTACATTTCAGAACAACTCCATATTATCAAAAAAGTTCCATGAGACTAGATTATTTGCATTCTCTTACTATACTCACCACCTCAAGAAAATCTTTCTGGAGTACGTCATTGCATTGTATTTCAGGCACAGAATATATAATAAATAGGGATATTGTGGTTAATCTGCTTTCCATATTTATTTGTAATGTTTGCTGTGTAGTTTGTCATTACAGCTTACTCAGGGTAGAGTGTGATAGGATTTGCTCAGTGTTTCAAATAAGATCCTACTTCAGATAGCATAATGTAGACTTAAACCATTGCCTGTTACAGAATGGATCGTGTTTGGCAATGTTCCTTTTTTATTGTAAGAGAACTGGCAATATATTGTGACAGTCTGTAACTAGTGAGAACAGGCCAGGTCAGCATGCTAAATATTTCCCAGATTTCCAAGGGAGACCCCAAACTAAGCGAAGACAGACAAATCAGCAGGCCAGGTCACTCTGAATGTCTCACACTGCCTGAGATACAGTGTCTTTGTTCGGGCACCAGTCCTCTAAGTGTGGTCTGAAGGACTCCTCAAGAGCTTTTCAGGGTATTAAAGGTCAAAGGTACCTGTTTCTATAATCCTAAAACATCATTTAACTTTTCCACTCTCATGCCTTCATCATACATAGTTTTCTAGAAGCTGCCTGATACATGATATATCAGACAAAATAAAAGCAGATATGAGAATCTAGGTTTCTTCTATTCAGTCAGACATTAAAGAGATTTGCAAAAATTACAGTGACACTTTTCTCACTAATTTTTTAGAAAAATAGTTCTTTTCAAAAAATTATAACAAGCATTAGATTTTCATTTGTAAATGATTAGTGAAAATTTAAGTTAATTTTCAGTTTTTTGTTATTGAGATAGGATTTCATTATTTAGACCAAGCTGACATCAAACTTGCAAACGTCCTGTCTCAACCTCCTAATACATTTTTTAAGGTTTTTTTGTGGGGGGCATACTGAGGATCAAACTCAGGGACATTCTACCACTGAGCTAATCCCCTACCTTTTTTATTTTGCATTTTGAGGGAGGGTCTTGCTATGTAGCCCAGATTGTCCTTGAACTTGTGATTCTCCTGCCTCAGCCTCCTGAATAGCTGATATCATAGGTGTGTGCCACCATGCTTGGCCAGTTTTAATTTCTAATATAAATGTCACTAGATAAAACCCTATGATAACAAAAATCTCTTTGTAATTTTGTAATACAGTTCTTCCGGGAAGATAAAAGGCACACCAGGAGTCTCAGAGGCAAGGTGTAGAATACGCTTTATTCTTAGCACTGGTGGGTCAGTCTGGGTTCACACACCAAGAGACTGACCCCACCTTGAGGTTGAGCAGGGCAGGTTATGCTGGAGGGGAGGGGCTGGCAGGAGTTACAAAGGTACAAGTCATACAGGCTCAGCAAATTCACTGGTTATTAGGCATTACAGACAGCAAGCTCGGCTCAGAGTTACACCTCTTTTACATTTGTTGTGGGGGCGGGGTAACAAAACTGTTAGAGAAGAAAGAAAATTTCTGAGATGTTTCAGAGGAAGTGCTGGGCTAGGCAAGCCTGAACATATTGAGGGAATGGGGACAAACTTCTCTATATGTCTGGCTTTAACTGCAGAGAGGCACATTCCCCCTTCAATCCCATTTCCAGGCCTGAGGGTCTGCCTTCACATCACCTGTGCATGAGAAGCACACATATTTCTTCACAGTTAACAGGCTGGGAGCAAACTACCAGACATCTTGGGTATCAATAATGCAAACCATTGAGTCTCTACAAGGAAACAAATTTCTAAGGTTTCCTGTTGAAGAAAATGGGCCAGCTCATTCATTCTGTGATAAGAGTCAATGAGGAAAAGGCTTCTGATCAAGGTCTAACAGCCCATTGATGTGTGCATACAGCCAGCTGCCAAAAGTGGAGGCAAGCAGCTTGTACCTCTGAGCGATTTTCTCCAAGGAGACCTTACAGTGAGGGCACAGGCAGGTGTGCAATATCCGGCAATCCCAGCCATCTGGAAGTGAAAGATGCCTGTGTTCCATATCTGTAGACAGAGCTGCTCAGCCATGTGGATTAAGGTCTCATCCAAGCCAACCATAAGGACTAGCTTTCCGTTTCGATGTAGTCATTGCTGATCTTCCCTTCCTAGTTGTTCAGCTTGCTGTGAGCTCCCCATTAACTCCAGCATGCCGGGGACCATGGATACCGTCATTGTGATGAGTGGCATCTGCTGCTATCTCCCCCACCCCTCCTTTTTTGGAGACAGGGTCTCACTATGTAGTTCAGGCTGGTCTTAAATTCACTGTGTAGCCAGGCTGGCCTCAAACTCATAGGAATTCTCCTGCCTCAGCCTCTGGTGTACACATATGCACTTACTTCTTTTGGATATGGAGCTAGGAGTGAAAATGATGGGCTGTTAGTACACATTTCTTTTTATAGAGATTTTTAATATGTTTGATTTATAAGCTCCTGCTTCAGGGGCTGGGGATTTAGCTCAGTAGCTCTGGCACCTGTCTCGCAAGCACAAGGCCCCAAGTTCAATCCCAGGTACCAAAAAAAAAACACACCCAAAAATAAGATCCTGCTTTTCTGCTGGGGGTATTTATAACATATGGAATATAAATCCTATTAACCTACTCCCTCAACCCCCTGTCCAAATTCTGAAGTACACTCAGACCTAAAGGTTCTGGAGTAGAGTTTATGGAGCTGCAAACATAAATGCAAAGTTAGCATGCATACAGCAATTTGATTTCTTTTTTCCAATCCACTACCCCAAAAGGCTCATTAGAAGTAACCTGTATATTTACTAGTCCCTATTTTGGGGGGTGTACTTGTTAAGATAGTTGTCGCGAGCCGGTGACACAGAGCACTGTCCAGCAGTGTCTCAAACCTGAAAGAGCATCGGGTGGAGATGGGGCCAGGAGAGAAAGAAGGACGCAAAGACAGGAGTCTGATGCGACGTTTATTATAGGTAGGCATCAGACTTTTAAAGCAAAAAACCACAAACATATGAGGAAGTAGGCTTAACCACAAACTATTATGGGCTAGAATCACCATGACAATCTTAACTGCTGATTTACAAGAATAAAGAACTCATATCAAGAAACAGAAACTTAACTCAAGAAAAGGAAACAACTTACAAGATGGATGAACTTAACAAAATGGAGTTCTAAAGCTAACAATTCTTGCAACTAATAATCATGATTCCCACAGATAGTCTCTTTATTTTTGTTTGTAATTGAAAACTAGTGAAGAAATGCTAAGATTCTCAGATAGTCAATGCAGTCACTGAAAAGGCCTCAGGATACTGAGAGCAAAGCAGCATAAGGCCTCACAAGGAGATCCTTGTGAGCTCGCAGTGAGCAAGTTCTTGAATCCATCTTCCAACAAACTAGCCAGGTGCTTCCAATACTCAGTGCTTGTGGTCACACTTTGAGACATGCCATTTTCAAGTTTAACCAATGTGGCCATTGTGCTTTGCTTGAGTCTGACATCCTTAATATGAGGTGTGCTTTTCCTATGGGCAACTATAGGTTACAAACATATTATTTTATTTATTTATTTCATTTTTCCGGTTTTTTGAGACAGGGTCTGTCTATGTAGTTGAGACTGACCTGGAGGTCACTATGTAGTCCATACTGGTCTCAAACTCACAGCAACCCTCCTGCCTCAGCCTCCTGAGTGCTGGGATTACAGGCGTGCGCCACCATGCCCAGCACAAGCATATTATTTTAGAGTTGGTACATTTTGGAATGGAATTCTGTATCATATAAACCTGACCAAGTATCAACATTACAACTTGCACTTCATCAAAATGAAACCCTAATGTTACACGCTAAGGAGGGACACAGTATTCTGTGTGTATAAAACCTACAAAGGGTAGAAAAAAGGTTGAGTCTAAAAGCAATTCATAGCAATACCTGAGGGTACTTTCATACCAATCTATAGCAAGTGTTTTAGATGACAGGAAAATGAGTAATGCTGGATTGTGACTATATGATTTTGTTGTAAGAGAATAAAAACACTTTGCCTGTGAACTATTGTGATAGCCAACCTGACTCATTTGTGTAGTCAAGTGATCCCTGGCGATCCCCCCATCCCCCCCTTGGGAGCCCCTCAATTAATGTCTGACAGACTGCCTCACCCTGTGTGTCTGCAACTGTGTTATCTTTACAACCTTGTAAACAGGACACTCTGCACCTGTGTGATATTTTGTTTCAACTAAACTGTGTGAAACGTCCTCTGACCACCTCTAGTTTAGCAGTCCTTCCCCTGTGAAATTCTGCTTGCTGTTCCCCTCCCCCTGACCCGCAGTCTTCCCCAATTAGAAGAGCCCCTTAAAAAGACAGCCCATTTGCCCATCCATTGGAAACTGGATAAAGATGTGGTTTTTCTATAAAATGGAATACTACTCAGCCATAAAGAATGAGAAAATAGATTCATTCATAGGAAAATGAATACATATTGAAGATATACTCCTAAGTGAAATAAATAAGTCACACATGTGTAAATACTGAATAGTTTCTCTGGTGTGAATAATCTGCAATAATACAGAAGATCCTGATAAGATTACTAACATTTTGAAAAGGGAAGAAAGGAGCTAAAGGTGTAGGGAAGGTGGGATGAGTAGGGGAAGGGTAATAAGGGAAAAGAAAAAAATGTGAGATAATGAAAAGATGGAAATAAAGTGTTTATAGATGGGGAGGGGAGGAGGGGGTGAAGTGAGGGCAGGGATAAGGGGAAAAAATGAGAATCAAGTCTTGTTATGTGGAGGTACAAGATCCCAACAATGAATGTAACTGTACTGTATCCCTAAAATGTACCAATAAACTCAATTAAAGCTGAAAAAAAATAGGACCACAAAAAAAGACCTCTTAGCCACTTTTTTTCCTAGTTGTGAGCTGCTTTCAAACACCAGCTGACAATGAAGGACTCAAGTTTGGCTGGTGGCACTGTTCTATAACCTCTCTCGATTAAGTATAACACTATAATATTGGACACATTTATTTTCCTTTCAAACAGATTCTTTTCCAACTTGCAGCACACAATAGAATTTTTAAAAAGTCAGGCATATTCATTTTGATAAAAAGAATGCCAGGGAATACCAAACTTTTCCTTTAAGTACCCCAGCTCAAAGAATGAATCTTTCATTGTGGGAAAATTAGCACTCCAAGAGCCTGATGTTACTTATTTTCATTTTTAATATTTATGAAAACTATGTATTGTACTTCATGAAAGACTGATGTGTTTTGGCTATAAAAACTTTTTTCTCATAGGATAGTTTTAATCATAATAAATACTCTGTCTCTGAATATCTTTCTGGTCTCTGCCAACCCTTGGGATGTTTTTTCTTTTGTTGAGAAACAAAAGTGTTGTAATAATTGTTGAAATTGGAACTCCGTTCCTTGTATTTTCTTTCCCTTTTTTACTATACTTGCCAATATCCAGATTCAAATTATGTATGTGCTTATTATGATGTGTCTCTCCTTCTGCCCCTCTGCTTCATAGATGCCAGGAAGGCAGACTCAGTGTATTAGGTAATACTTACAAGAGCTTGCAGGGCTGGGCCAAGGCTCTTCAAAAGACTGCACATGCTCTGAATCAGATTTAACTTAGAACAGAGATTTTCAATATTGGCCTACAGTGGCCACTCACTGAGTCAAATGTACAAGAGTCCCTGCACTAGAGATCTGAAGGATCCAGCCAAAGACCTGGAGCCCACAGCAACGTCCCTTCAAAGTCTGCATCGGGGCCAAAGGATGTGCAATGGAAGGCCTAGGGGTCTGTACCAGGGGCTCAAAGGGGGTCCAGCACTACAAACTAAAGAGTCTTCTCCAGCAGGCCAAAAGGCCAGTGCTGGAAACAAGAATCTGTGCAAAAAAGCCGGAAGACCATGACCCAAAGGTAAAGGCAAAGACCAGAGCGCCTCTGAAGAAAACAGCTGAAGCTCCTCTGGGGAAAATCAGCTGAAACAAAGTTCTTCC